GACGACATTCCCATCTTCCCTTCTTCTTCGTCTAATCCCCATCCTCTTCGTCTGTGTATGTTTGGGACTGGCGCATTCTTCCTGTGTGAGCGCCAGGTCCCTTCACACCATGCGATGATGATGATGTATGTTTGGTCTGCATTGCGACATTGATTGGTCGGATCATTGGTATATTAGCCTTCCACTGCGCTATCTTGTACTATGTGAGAGAGGTCGGTTCTTGTTCTGGTCTGCACCTTTACGGTATGCGACATAGGCCAACTGATCTTCGTGTGCAGGTCGGAGTCAACGACCTTGTCCATGGACAAGATGTTGTCAAGCCATGCTTGACACGCACCACCCAACCGGTGATAGAGAAAAGTGTGCCAGTTGGAGTTGCTCAGATTGTACATGTCCAATCGCAAATCGAATTGCCACCACCACGGAATTGGATCGGTCTTCGATGCGTCGCAGAAGACCGGGATGGCGTTCAACTTGGGTGGTCGGTCGGGAGGTGACGATGCTGGACTTGCGGCTGCTGCACAAATCTGCTGCGCCAGTTGCTGATCGGTTGACTGGAGTTGCTGATTCGTTGCCCGCTGCTGCTGATCACCATCCTTGAGAGCGCCCACATCAATATCCGAAGTGTTATCGCAATTGACAAGGTTGGAGGGGCCGGCGGTCGGATTGTACACGGGTCGCTGTTCCAGCAACTGTATGCGGCTGGTCAGCTGTACGGCAGTCTACTGGTGGTCCCGCACCACGTGGTCGAGACTGTAGATATCCTCCTGCTGTGCAATGCAGGTGGCCAGCGGGTCCATGACACGGGTAAGCAGTACTGCAAGCTTGCTCCTGCAGTCGTTGGCTGCCTCTCCCTCGGCCTCCTTCCGCCAATCAGCGGCCAGCGCATGCAATGCGCATTCCTCCTTGAACAGTCCTTGACGCCGCCGTACCCGTTCTTCATCTGCAGCCTTTGCTGCTGCTGCTTCGCCCTTCTTGTGCTGTTCTTCTGCAAGACGGCGTTGTTCCTCTAAGTCCTCTTCCTTTTTTTTTCTTGCGGCTGTGGCCGCATCTGTTCTCTTCTTCATTTCCGCCGTCAGATCCAACATGCGGGCCTCATAGGCCGCCTCGGTCTCCCCTTCCTTCCGGTCCATGTCGCCCGTCATTGAGCGGGTGACCGCTGGCATATGCCGCTGTGGCAGGCGGCAAGGGCTGACGTGGCACTATGCTGCTGCTGATGTGGCACCGATCGGCTGCGGACGTGGCACGGATGCCGATGTGTTGCCGATCTGTTGCTGATGTGGCCTGCTGACGTGGCCTGCTGACGTGGCCTGCTGACGTGGCCTGCTGACGTGGCCTGCTGACGTGGCCTGCTGACGTGGCCTGCTGACGTGGCCTGCTGACATGGCCTGCTGACGTGGCCTGCTGATGTGGTCTGCTGACTTGGCTGGCTGACATGGCCTGCTGATGTGGCACCATGCTGACGTGGCAACTCACCAATGCCCGCAGCAGAGGAGAAGCAGAAGAAGAAGAAGAAGATGAAGAAACGAAGAAGAGACACACAGCAGCAGGTGGGGTGGGTGGGAGGGGAGAAAGTGGTAGATAATAAAGAAACTACCACTTCCCCACCCCCATGGGGTCACATTGATCGGCCAGATAAGGAGCCACTAGTTCGAACTTTGCTTGATGATTTTATTTTATTATTATTATTTTTTTTTGCTTGATAATTTTTTGTTCAAAATCGCAAGTTCGGTAGGTCTCCGAATCCCCAAGCATCCCGAAGTTGAAATGAATAAAAAATAATATTTTGAACCTCAGACTGCCGGTATAACAGAGAAACGATTAAAAGAAATAATCAAACTGCAAAAAAAATTTGCAAGTTCGGGTAATTCCGAACTTTTTAAAAAATACAATTCAGAAATTCGGAATATTCCAGATGAGAGGAAGTGCAGCAATTTCCGATTTTGAGAAGTGTAATCCCCCAAACACAACTGCAAAGAGAGATGTCCGAAACAAAAAAATAAATAAATCGGATTTACCAAAGCATCCGATGCTTTGGTAAATCCGATTTTTTTTTGAAATTCCGATGCCTTGGTAAATCCGATTTTCCGATGCTTTGGTAAATCCATTTTTTTTTTTTTTTTTTCCGACATCTCTCTTTGCAGTCGTGTTTGGGGGATTATACTTCTCAAAATTGGAAATCGCTGCGCTTACTCTCATCTGGAATATTCCGAATTTCTGAATTGTATATTTTATTATTTTTTTCATTCAGAATTACCAGAACTTGCAATTTTTTTTTGCAGCTTGATTATTTCTTTTTCTTCTTCTTCTTCTTCTTCTTCTTCTTCTTCTTCTTCTTCTTCCTCCTCCTCTTTTTCCTCCTCCTCCTCTTCCTCCTCCTCCTCTTCCTCCTTCTCCTCTTCCTCTTCCTCTTCTTCCTCTTCCTCTTCGTCCTCTTCTTCCTCTTCCTCTTCGTCCTCTTCTTNTCTTCCTCTTCCTCTTCTTCCTCTTCCTCTTCGTCCTCTTCTTCCTCTTCCTCTTCGTCCTCTTCTTCTTCTTCTTCTTCTTCTTCTTCTTCTTCTTCCTCCCTCTTCTTCTTCTTCTTCTTCTTCTTCTTCTTCTTCTTCTTTGGATCCTTGGCAAGATTTGCCAAGGTGGTGGGTGGTCATTGGGGACCCTTGGTGTCCCGGATGTACCCCCATCCGTAGTTTAAGGCCCTCTGTCGCCTAATGTATGTGTGGGTGTGGTCAGCCCATTTTTTACCATCTCGTGGAGGCCTCAAATTTTGAAAGTTCGGAATCTGTAGCATGGGTTATTGGACGGGTTCTAATTGACCCCCCTTAACCCATGATTATTTTTTTGGGCAAATTTAGTTTCTTGAAATAGAAATTATTCGCAATATTAGGTACCACATAGTTTTTAACTTTTTAGTGCAAATGAAGGATCAGTGGGGTATCCGATGGTACTTACCGTTTTGTAAATGCGGAAAAGTTTTTTGGGCGCCCGTGGTGGCGCATTGGGAACGAAATCTGACATGGGCACCGAGTACCAGAAGCACCCCGGCGCCGTTTTTTGGCACACTGAGGCAGCATTACGGGCATATAACCGCAGTAGGCTGAGCAGCTCCCCCCTTTTTTTTTGTTCTGCATCACGTAGTACTGGAGAGCAGCCCTATGTTCCGTCGTTGCCACTTCGAGTGCCAAGCGGGCGCGATGTTCGTGCCTCTTTCAACTATGGATGTGAGAAACTGTTGTGCATTGGATGATGTTTTTTATCGTTGTGCTCTGGGATATGACGAAGCAATGGGATGGAGTATGTGGAGAGAAGGTGGAGGGAAAGGGGAGAGAGAGGAGGGCTGATATGGATATAAGGATAGGGGTGTAGCCTCTACTACCTCCTGAAGAGACTTGGAGTCCACCCAAGTGGAAACGCGTCGAGGGAAGGTGTACATTGCGGTGTCTGGCATAAGTAATTGATTTATCATTTGCTTTGCCCTCCATGTGAACAGTTTTCTGTTTGCTGTTCAGTTTTATACCCTGTGAATTCTGGGTAGGCGTGGCAACCAACGTAGCCTAGTGCCGTGAGAGTGGTCACGTGATTCCTCACTGCACAACAGTGAAGAATAGGGATATGGAATAGGTGGTGAAGGTTGGCGGGGAAAGGGGGAGATTGGCTGTGGTAACATGGCGTCGAATGGGGCATTAAGGAGGTGCAGACACATTTTCAAGGATATGCGAGCACTGAGGCGTTTTCGGCATGTCCTACGATCAATGGTTATGAGCATTATCGCACGCATGACAGTATCTGACAAACATAGTTTGGGGGCGAGAGCAATCATACTGGATTATATGGAGAGAAGTGAGAGGTTACTTGAGACTTTGTATGTAGTCATCTTAGCACCAATGACCTTTTCGGCGAAGCGCGCACCTAGGATCGATAAGATTCGTGTGATTCCTTCCTTGAACAAGACCTATCGTCAGTTCGATTGTGTCTGCACGATCATCGGACGTGCGCTGACTGTTTTGCGAAGCTCTTGGTAGGCATGCAGGCGAATATGGCGAACGCCGGGGGAATGGGCCTGAATGGGCCTGGTATGGGTAGCACGCACGTGAGTGGCCTCGGTTTTGGCGCGCAGAATATGGCGGCAACGAGTTAAGCACCATCCACAAATTTTGGCACAGTCACTTGTTTCATCTGCGGGAAGACCGATCATTACTCTCGTAATTGCTGGCAGGCTGCAAGCAGTCGAAAACCGGAGGAGGATTTGGAGATGAAGGAGCTTCTGCGGCGCATTGCGAAACGGGAGAAAGACGAGGAGGAGAAGAAAATACGTGAGGCGGAGGAATCGAAGAGTAGAGAGGAAGAACAAAGGAAGGAAGGTGAAAAGCTTAGAGAAGCTGAGGCAAGGGAGGCACAACTTGAAGCTTCTATTGTTCGGATTTTATCACAACAGAAGCCACCGTTGATGATAACTAGTCCCCAACCTCCTGACGAACCAAAGAGGAGATCTCCACGAACCAAGGCTCGTATGCTGCGTGAGATACGGAGCTACATAGCTGAATCAGACGATGACAGCGAAGAAGTCAAGGAGGAGGCAGAGAAGCTTATTGAAGCCATTGAAAACCGGAAGAAGAACAACAAGAAGAATGCAGCGACACTACGGGATGTGACCAGTCGGCTGATGAAGACTCCAAGGCGGGGGAGAGGACGCATCACTGAGACAGTTGTGGATATGGATGTGTTTGAAACTCCGAAAAAGTTATGTCCGGCCGAATGCTCGAGTGAGGGAGTAGTTGAATTTGCCCTGAAGCAGGCTAGAACGCTTAATGCACTTAAGAGTACCAGATATTCGGGCGATCTGTGATCGGGAAGAGATAGAGTATGTTGTTAAGGACCAGGCAGTAGATGAGATAGCAAGGTGCCGTATGAGACTTGCTTATGAGGGCGTTTTTGAGAAGGATCCGGCAACTCCGGTAGGTAGGTCTACTCCGAATGTTAGGAGCTCTTAGTGATTTACTGGGAGCCACGATCGCAGCACAGTGATGAGGGAACACGATATCACTGGTAACTATGGGGTTATCGTCCCGAGAAGCATCGAGTAGATACAAGGAGCTCATTGATCGAAGAAAGTAGAGGGAATACACAGGAATACAACCGCTATTAGTCAGGTCCGAGGAGAATGAGCTGGCTTTGTTGTTTCTGCTACTAGCGATCAGGGGCTTTATACCCTGGGTACGAAAGATCCTGCGTTTTATCGATCCCAATCGGATTGACGTTAGTCTGCCTGGTGTTTATGCGTTGATTAGTCCGATTTGTTGGAGATTCTATATCGGATGTACGGTAAGGAGGATTATAACGAGATGGGCGGAGCATATACGTTGTGCTAAGACAGGCGGGATAGGCAATGCTCCAAAATTGCATTCGTGGCTCAGATTTTTTGGTTGCCAAAAGTATGTAGTAATACCGCTTGTTATGGAAGTAAATGACCCATTGATAGTAGAAAAAGCCCTGATACATCGGTTCTCTCCATCGCTCAACGTCGTTGGGCGTAGGAGAGAAGGAAAATGCAGAAAACGGAAGAAGAGAAGCCAGGGGGGAATATATACGGATCAGCCTGCTATGATTACTTTCAGTGTCAACGGCATGATATTTTCGTCGATAATGGGTCTCATGGAGAGTGGAACAGTGGGAGTGAATACTACAGTAACGACGATAGCAGGCAGTGTCTGGGTGGATTCGTGGAAAAGATCAGGGAGAGATACGGTGAATCCCGACTGATAATAGGACTCAGCAGGAGGAAGCTTAAGGATGCGAAAAGAATTTTAGAGCAGGGATGCTCTTTTCAGATAGTGCTTTTGATTGCGACAACAACAGCTGTACAGCGGAACAAGAGGTACTTGCAGGATCTGATCTCTCAACCTTGGCGAGTACGCCAGCTGTACAGGCTGTCTAGTCAGAAGCTTTCATCTTTGTATAAGACAGCCGGTCTGTTTTCGCACGCATCGACACGGAGGACTCTTAAAAGAAAGGTGACATGTGTACTGCGTGACAACTTTGGAGTTGACGTATCGAAGAGATTGTTTGTGAAAGTCCCGTTCTCATCCCAGATTGATTTAGGGGCGGTTAGGGACCTAGTAGTGAAAATTCTCTCCAATTCGATTAGAGATCATGCAGTTCGGTCTCTCGTTATAGAAAGGATGAGGATGATGCGACTGAGGAGAAGAACAGTGGGGGATATCATCCATAACTATTGAAAAGCGTTGGATGAAAGAATGGATGGGTGCACATGTACCGATTTACCTCTGGATCGCCACCAAGGGCATGTGCGTGTGAGATTGGAAGATATTGGAGGAGTGCACAGTTTCTTGCACAATGCGAGGAACGTCACCTGTGGGAAGACACTGTCGAAGGTCAAGCTGCTTGAGGTGATCATACAAGCAATCCCAAAGCTTTGGAGGCTTGGTATTAATCAACTCACCAACTGCTATCTGAAACATGTTTTGCCACGATCTGCTCAGACATTATCGGAATACCAAGGGCAGAAGGAGGTACGGGACCTAAACTCTTTGATTTTGGTACCTTTGGACCGGAACCCGAGTGCCACATTGGTGATCTGCCCAGTTCTCTATTTCCACGCCTTCCGTATGACCTTCTGCTGGAATTCCGGTTTTCGACGCTAAAGTGAAAATGAGAAGCAGGTTCTGGTGGAGGCAAGAAAACGCTATAACGATGAAGGACTTCAGGCTGCAGCAACGTGGAGGTCGTGCGGAAAGCTTGGTAGAGCGTATGTGATACCAAAAGATAAAGACCTCAACAGATGGCGGCCAATTTCACCATCTTCGTCGGAGCCATCACGAATGGCGAGCTCAAGACTGGGCCAGGCATTGAGGTACATGCTCATCTGTATACCGGAGCGCTATCATTTCAGCCTCCGGTCGACAGACGAGCTGAAGCAGAGGATGAACAGTGTTATCGACATGCTTAGCAGAAGTGGCGATACTGTCCTTGCAATGTGTTATGACATCAAGGACATGTTCGCAAAGCTTCCTCATGAGGTGATTATCATAGCCGCCACGTGGCTGATGGGAATCCACAGATCTCGCGGTTTGGTAGCCGTCAAAGTAAGTATTAGAGGTAAGGCATGTAGGATGGCCAGATCTATGACAAAGGAGGATGGTTTCTTGAGTCTGAGTTTTGAGACATTAAAGACGATGCTAACGTTTGACCTTGGACACACACACACGATCTGTGATGGTTACGTGTACCAGCAGGTTTTTGGGATCCCGATGGGTAAACACTCATCGCCGGCTCTCGCTGACCTGCTATGCGCGAGTCAGGGTAACACTCTTCAAACCTCTTGCCTATCTCTATAGCTCTCTCATAGCTTGAAGGGAAACCGGATCTGAAACAGAGCATCACAGACACATCATCCATCATCCTAACACCTGCAATAAAACACTCATCGCCGGCTCTCGCTGACCTGCTATGCGCGAAAGCCGAGAGTGATTTCCTGACAGCACTAGGCAATGATCGGAGACTTATTGCAGGTGTTAGGATGATGGATGATGTGTCTGTGATGCTCTGTTTCAGATCCGGTTTCCCTTCAAGCTATGAGAGAGCTATAGAGATAGGCAAGAGGTTTGAAGAGTGTTACCCTGACTCGTTGAAGCTAATCAGGAAGGATGAAGGACGAAACGTTTGGGATTTCTTGGGCTGCGGAGTGTTTTTGGAACCAAGCCCGCCAAAGGTTCACATTTTCCCACGGACAAAGAACCAGTCATACATTATCAAGGAAGGCATGTTGCACTTGCAGTCCATGCAAGACTACAAATCCTATACAGCAAAGAAGGTGAAGAGGGCGATACTAACAGCATCCATGCTCAGACTATGGAGGATGTCCACTGACGAGGATGCTGCTTGGGTAGCAATTATATGTCTTGGGATCGAGGCTCGCCTCCGGGAATACCCTCCGGAGGTCTTCTTCGGACCCTTGGCAAGATTTGCCAAGGTGGTGGGTGGTCATTGGGGACCCTTGGTCTCCCGGATGTACCCCCATCCGTAGTTTAAGGCCCTTTGTCGCCTAATGTATGTATGGGTGCGGTCAGCCCGTTTTTTACCATCTCGTGGCGGCCTAAAATTTTGAAAGTTCGGAATCTGTAGCATGGGTTATTGGACGGGTTCTAATTGACCCCCCTTATGATTATTTTTTTGGACAAATTTAGTTTCTTGAAATAATTTTTTTTGGCAATATTAGGTACCACATAGTTTTGAGTGCAAATGAAGGATCAGTGGGGTATCCGATGGTACTTACCGTTTTGTAAAAAATGCGGAAAAGTTTTTTGGGCACCCGTGGTGGCGCATTGGGAACCAAATCTTACATGGGCACCGGGTACCAGAAGCACCCCGGCACCATTTTTTGGCACACTGAGGCAGCATTACGGGCATATAACCGCAGTAGGCTGAGCAGCTCCCCCCTTTTTTTCTGTTCTGCATCACGTAGTACTGGAGAGCAGCCCTATGTTCCGTCGTTGCCACTTCAAGTGCCAAGCAGGCGCGATGTTCGTGCCTCTTTTAACTATGGATGTGAGAAACTGCCGTGCATTGGATGATGTTTTTTATCGTTGTGCTCTGGGATATGACGAAGCAATGGGGATGGAGTATGTGGAGAGAAGGTGGAGGGAAAGGGGAAAGAGAGGAGGGCTGATATGGATATAAGGATAGGGGTGTAGCCTCTATTAACTCCTGAAGAGACTTGGAGTGCGCCCAAGTCGAAACGCGTCGAGGGAAGGCCTTCATTGCGGTGTCTGGCATAAGTAATTGATTTATCATTTGCTTTGTCCTCCGTGTGAACAGTTTTCTGTTTGCTGTTCAGTTTTATACCCTGTGAATTCTTCTTCTTCTTCCTCCCTCTTCTTCTTCTTCTTCTGCTTCTGCTTCTTCTTCTTCTTCTTCTTCTTCTTCTTCTTCCTTTTCTTCTTCTTCCTTCCTCTTCCTCTTCCTCCACCTCCAGCGCAGCGCTGTCTCGCACTGCTCCAGCAGCATGTCGCCCAAGAAGTGAGCTACTCGAACTGTGTCCTGGAGCTGGGCTGGCCCAGCTATATATAACACTGGGCCTGGCTGTGATGCCCAAGTCCCCAAAGGCTGGCCGTAGGCCCCCAGCGCGCAGGCGTACATGGCGTGCGGACTGGGGGCCCCCAGCAACCGTTGGGGCCCCGAAACGGGGCCCATGTCCAGGCTCAGCATGTAGCACTCTCTCTCTCTCTCTCTCTCTCTCTCTCTCTCTCTCTCTCTCTCTCTCTCT